TGCAGAGAAGCAACCTGGGCAGTGTGCTGTCCTTAGAATATCTGACCGTTTTGTGTACTACCTGGTAAGATGGCCTGTAGTGTTTAGTTCACATCTGTTGTATGTTTTACTAAATAAATTAAGATAAAAGTAGAGTTGTCCTGGCTTACAGCTTTCTTGTTAAGAAAAACTGACCTTTTCCACTTTTTTCCTGAACCAGGTCACAAAGAAAAAGTACAACCAAAAACCCACCTATGACAATCTCAGAAAGAGCCTCGTGTCTATGAAGGAACACTGCTTGGCCAATGGCGTTAACAGTATATCCATGCCTCGGTAAACTGACATGTTTAATAACAATAGTGTTGTGTTTAATTTAAATGCAGATACTGATTTTAGATTTGCTTGTTTTGAATATGATTCTAGCTAAATGACTTGAAAAATGACAATAAGAATAATTTTGCCATTGTCAAAACTCAAATATAGCTTGATAATTGCATTTTTAAATACTTGGAAAGAATTAGGGTAACTTTACTTTTGAATTGATTTTATCATTCTGCTGAATAGACTGCAATCTTCTCTTCTCTTGCAAGGATTGGCTGTGGTCTGGATAAACTGAAATGGGAAAATGTGTCTTCCATTATCACAGAAGCCTTCCAGGACACAAAAATCTCCATCACTGTGTACACAATCTAGACCACAGCAGGTCTGAAGCTCACATTATTTCTTAGCCGTTCTTGAAGAATGGTTGGAGGATGGCCTTTTTTCCAATGGAATTTCACAGTGTACTGTAGGGTGTTCATTAGTCTTGTTCTGGGAAACATAAGCTCCTAGGACTGTACCAGTTATATACACTAAGAATATGTAGGGGTTCGATTCCATTGTTCTTCCACCCTCCTGTTGCATCTCTAAATTGTGTGGATGTTCTTTTCACCACTAGAGGGTCATTGTTTGATAAATTATGCTTTACAGTTCATATTTTTCCAGCAATTATCACTATATTAAATGTACCTCTAATATTAATGCACTATAAATGTCCCATATATAATGATTACACTATTATTCTGATATCCTTATTTTCCTATTTTTTTCTTCAGTACATTGGTTCTCAGCTGTGTTCCTGGAGACGTTTAAAAGCTGTGTCTCATTTCCAAAGCAGCACCCTCCAAAGGTTGCATTAGTCAGCCTCATACGTCACAGAACCTCTCTCATTTCAGAAAAGCAACCATTATAAAATTCACTGTTAGTCCTCACCAGGCATAATTAGTCATTTCTGTCTTTAGAATATAATGGTCGACAGATAAGGCCGACAAATGCGACCTCTGGAGGGTGCAGCCTTTGAAATGAGACACAGCGAAAATGTGCAGTTTAGGGGGGACTCCAGGAACACAGTTTTGATCCAATGCATAAGTACATATAAATAGCATCGAAAGTGTCACACCGTCATACTGCTGTCTTTAAATTGTGCAAATTGTGCAATTGTGCTAATTGACTCGTGTTTATTGTTTTACATACAGGGAGACTGTTCACTATGCCAAAATTCATCATTTAATTTCAAAATAATAAAAAAATAATTATTATTAT